CAAACAATCTTTTGACGTCACTAAATTGCAGAAATTACGAGGCAATAAAATTTGTCCTGAGGTCAGATCAACCGGCACCATTCTGCTTCCAATTTCGAGCAATGCTCGCAACCGTACATCTTCAAGTCTGGCTTCGCTCTGCTGCTTCCTCGGCATGTACTCGAGCCATTCGTTGTCTGTTTCGCTCGTTCGTTGATCCCGTCCTTCCGCAGTTTGATTTCCAATTACTCGTCCACGACGACCTAAGGTTGATCTTCCGCGAGGCATTATTTTGATGAACTAAAGCAGATCGACTGCATCGAAGAAGAAAGTTATAACAAAAACATAAAGTTATAAAACAAAAAAGTAACAAAAATTTATTTATAAGGGAGAATACAGATGTTTAAAAAAGAAAAAATTAACCATACTCACGAATAGTTTCCAAGAAATACATCAAAACCCAATAATTTGTTAAAAAATATTTCCGGAAGACAGAAAATACAACAATTAATAGATTACTAAAATTAAATCCCGTTAAAATAAAATTCATACAATATCGACCAGACAAGATGATGCATCCATGCAAATAAAATTAAGCCGATAAGGAGGATGTAAGCTAACAAAGGGGGAACACCACAGAGAGATTTCGGTGTTTTCGCACGTCCGCAGCATGAACCATACCAAATGTCAGCTAACCTCCATGATGACCATGGTGGAACTTACCAAAGCTCCTCCTCTATACATACGCTCAGAAGAAAACACTTTTTGCCTGTCACAGGTGTGACATCTATATAATACAGGTGTATAAAAACATGCGCGTATTTGAATGCAACGCGTGTCAAAATTTCAAAGCAATCAGTGAAAAACTTTAAGATGTTTACTTCATACCTTTCTCATAAGCCACAAGTTTTATAATTCTAATCAACTCTTGTGCAGTTAGCGAAGGCAAGTGGAACTTGCAATATGAAGAGATGATAATATATATGGAAATAAAGAAATGAATGCTGTTATATGATAAGAAGCGGCACTAAAGGAGTGAGGGGCGCCTACAACGACTGGACCACATTTGCAATTGGCCCCCGCAATGGGTGTATTGTTTGTGCAGCACAAAATGCATGAATTGCAACGACCTAAGTAAACTTCACCCATTAGGGTGGTATTTGCATTCTCACTAGTTCCAAGCGATATTTCCTGTCCGTTTGTCTTTATGCTTCTGTTATGCATGTGTATGTATGTATATGTAAGCTATGTACGTTGACGTTGTTTGTTCAGTGGAACAACTTCTCGAATAATATTGGATTTCTATGAAATTCACTTTAGTGGTTCACATACAGCAAAAAGACAGCCGTCATTTTGTTTATTGGTGCTGCTACTGCTACTGTTGCTGGTGTTGGTTCAAATTTTGTCAGGAACTGAGATGAGAGTAGGACGGGTGAACTGTTTAGAGTCCCAACTTGCAATTCTGGTAGCAAGATCTTTCCGTCTTTCCACTTGGAGATTTCCGAAGAGGACAAATTTCACAAAACCGTGCCATGGACTTGCTTGACAACGTATATAAAAATTCAAATTCCAACTGTTCACAAACCCTGCAATGCCATCAAGGACAGCAACATTTTCGAGAATTTAGGTTCCGCTGTGAGAACGAAAAGAGAGAGGAGACGGAGAAGCGAGAGAGGGGGCAAAATGATAGACTCGTCCCGCAATGCCATAGCTTGCTTGCCAAGATAAACACAACACTGCTATTCGCTTGCAGTGAATGAGTGAGTGAGTGTTACGGCAGTTCAATGTTTACGTCGTAACTTATTTCGGGAATATCTTTTGACTCCCTTTTCACTTCCTCTCTTACCATATCCCTTCTCCTCTTCTCACACTATTTCACAAATGAAATTTCAACGATTATTTGTAAGCTTCACGCAATATTTTTTCTTTTTATCCATCCAACAATTGCGCATTCTGAACTTCTTACTTTGCCACATGCCAATGCATTTGCAGGGAAGGAATCCTTTCTTGTACGGAAAAGAAAGAAAGAGGAAAGAGGAGAATGCTGTGTGATTGTATCGTCTGTTCGTGGCAGATAATGAGTATATTAATACTCTCCCTCTCCCTATCACTGGTCTAAATTCATCTTGACATCTTGGTGACCTCTACTTCCACGCACTCTCTTATCATCCAAACCAAAATGAAATTAAAGCAGACATGGTTGTAACAGCAGTGCTGGAAGTGTCATCACTCGTTGTCTGCATGTATCGTCGCTGTTACTTTCCCTTTCTCTGCACTTACCAGCAAATGATTGAAGAAAGAGTTAAAGAAAGAAAGAAAAGAGGAGGAGACTCAACGTGCCTCGATTACTATGTTAGATAGAAGGAACAGCGGCGCGGTGGGTGCTGAAAAACCATCCTCCAAACATACTCCTCCTCCCGTTCTTTTCCCCGCATTTCATGTCTTGATAGGGAGAGGGGGAGAGAGACATGCAATGGTGCGTATGGCATTCGACATGCTATTGCATAAATTCGTCATCGACTCGGTGAATATATTCTTTCGATGGTTTGAAATCTGTCGCAGCGTTATGCTGTAGGATGATTAGATGGAAGTGTGAGGGAGAAAATGAAAGAGAGGGATAGAGAGAACCGTTCCCATTGAGTCAGTGAGGATAGTTTGTTGTGTAGGCATCCGACATAATCAACCATCAGTCAGCCAACGATGTCATTGCGTTATACTAGTTGGATGCGTGCGTGCGTGCATGCATGTCTTCCTGTCACTCTCATCTCAATGCTTGCTATACACAAGTCCACACACAGAAAGAAAGGAAAAGAGAGAGAAAGACAAAGAGCGCCTGCCTTACTCCCCTCCCTCCTTCCTCTTACGGCTTACAACCGACTGCCATTCCGAAAAAAGTTCGCAATTAAAGAAGCAGCGATGAGTACTTGCAACAAAATGCAATTAGTGCTCCGTTTACTGAGCTTTAACCGCCGCATCGACATGCACGCCGCGCGATGCATTGCGCTACCTTGCGCGGTATGCTAATTTACCCCATTTCTACTATTTTTAACCTCTTTGAAGGACATTCGATTTCTGTTAATTCATTAATCTAAATAATTCGAAGGACACATAAGGAGTGATATTAAATAGTCACGTTGCTGCCCTTTTATAATTCAATTCTGGCGATAGTTTATCTCGGGACGGTTAATTTACTACCAACAAACAACCCCCTCATACGGGGTGTTCCGCAACCATCACCATTGATCCGAGGAATCACGGCGGCACTCATAATATACTTCCTCATCAACAATTAATTTCCGCACTTTTACAGGTAACCACTTTTGTGCAACTTTTTTTTTCTTACGGTGCTATCACACTGCGGAAAAATTAATCTTCGGAAAGATCACATTTATTGCATCATATAATACCTTTAACAAGTGATCCTCGTGAATTATGATTTGTCTGCTTAGTGTTTCCGTTGATGTTTCTAATATTATGCGTAACCTTCGACCTCAGCGGATACCAGTTTCTGAATAGGTCGCTTTGAAGCATAATGAGATAATGAAGAAATCGTAGTCAGAACCGAACTGTATGGGTTGTGTATCAGTTCTATTCACTCTTCTTACTAGTCTACCGCGGAAGTTATGAGCATGCAATGAATATCAGTTAGCATAAGGAAAGTCTTGCGGCTTTACTTAGACTTTAACCGTCATTGTTTAAAGTAAGTGCCAAGTTCTCTGCGAGTTCGAACTTCCAGCGCCGTTGGCATGGCTTCAAATATATATGTTTGTTGTGAGAATTTGATAGATTCCCGAAAACTGGATATTATTTTTTTCCCTTTTTATATTTCAGCGATTATTTGGGGTTGTTTCGTTAAACTCTATGTCAATATCGTCTTCGCTGGGGAGTTCTTTAGTTGTTATCTGTACTTTCCGGGTTCAGTATGTTATATTTTTACTGTCGCTGTCTGAATATTCGTGTTGGGTAATGCTGGATTACGGTTTAATGGATTGCATGGGAAGTATTTATGTTAGGTCGTGTGTGACATGTGCTCATCAAGATTCTTGCTGATCACAAATCGTATTGGCTATTTTGGAGGAAAGGAGAAAGGGTTGGACACCTCCTTCCCATGCGAGATTGGGAGAGTCGAGGCTCTTGAGGAAGAAGGAAGGGCCCTGAAGGACGATGAGTCGGCTTCTGAAAGGCGAGGAGGGCAACAGTGTGGGTAGGTGAGAGTTAGGGAATGCTTGAGTGAAATGGAATGAATGCGCCCGATTGTGGATCGCTGGAACATTCAGTTGGTTCGAGGTGGGTGGGTGACGCTCTTCTGCAGCGTCCCTGTCCGTTTCCCTCAAAACTCACACAAACATCTCTCATTCGAGCAACTTTGTGAAAAGGGTGGGGATGAAAGAAAGAGAAATGGAAAAGAATAGCAGAAACACAGGCTCCTGCGAGAAGCACCGTGATTACATATAATTTGTGGTGATGTGTGTAAGTGATTACAAAGTTTGGTGGATTTACATATATAACATATATGACAGTTTAGTGTAGTAATTATGTTCTCAGAGTTCGTCCATCTGATGGGGGAAAATCGGTCTTTGCTTTCGTGAATTTAAGTTCCTGTCCAACCTTTTCCTATTTTGAATTGTGTTCAGATAAGGTTCACTCCAATCTCTTAAGGGGTAGCGGATTGCAGTAGCAACAAATATAAATAATACGTTTGGAAAGACTTAGAATTGTGGTAGTGTAAGCAGCGGCAAGATTTGAACGAAGACGAGATCGTTTTGAAAGAACTGGTACTTAAAGGCTGGATTCCATCTTTTTTCTTACAGCTGCCATGCATTGGTTAAAAAGGATATTTTTTATCGCTAATCAGTAGTATACTATTTCTAATCCAACTAGTTTGTTCAATTACAAAATGTTTTCAAATTTAAATATAGTGTATTCATTTGTGGAACATAGGTTTTGCAGATCTGATGAGAGCCGTCATGAAAATTGCTCGATGACCTTGACGAATTGCTCTCAGCGCGTCTGTGTGCATGTATGTACGCATGAAGTTATGCACCGTCGATACTATTGAGAACACACATACACACTGCTTTCGCATAATTCAATTTCGAAAACTTTCAGAATATGCTTGAGTAGGTCATATCGTATCTGATGCACGTCTGCAAGAATAATTTGCACAACAATACGACACTTCGATTCTTCATCCATAAGCATTTATGCTCACTGACTTCACATTTCTAGACTATTTGAATCGTTATATTGAATTCTTAAGTAGTGGCACGTGCAATATTTGGCAGTTGAAAATGTTCGAGTTATTATAGGGTAGAATTATAACGAAAAGTTGTGATGATAAAGGATTGGTTCGCATTATGAATGTGTTGTTCAATAGTAGATGACTAATAATATTCATCAAGTGCACATTTCCTATCTTCCACTTGTTGATCCTGTGTTTTGCCACGTACCCAGAACGAACGCATCGATGAAAAGCGACTGTTTCAGTCTTCAGTAAGCTCTTTCCCTTAGTTCTTTACGCTGACACAGGAGCCCTTGCGCCTCTTACATGTCTGCTTTTAATGGCATGAGTCTTCCCTTACAGTTTAGTTTCCACATTCAGTGATATTAACAACAAAGATGGGTTACCCGAATGATTTAAATTGTGTTTTAAGTATTAGTTGGAAGCAAAGATGGGTTCTATTGGTGGCAGCGAATAGGACGATTGGTTGGTATGGTACCACAAACTGGATGATAGATAGAAAAGTAGGCTTCTGTTTGTAATACTACTGTTGATGCTATTTCAAGTGTTGATCTAGAGAAACAAAAGTAATGACGCTAGTGACGGTGATTTTGCGATGCAAAATGTGCAGTTAACAAACAACTGACACACTTATAAGTATATACATATAAATGTAAATATAAGTATAAACACATATACATATATATAATTTTTGTTTCTATATTGATATTACAGATTAGGTAAATAACCGATAGATAAACGCAAAAGAAAAGCAACGAAATGAAGCGCACATTACCCCCATTCGTAACTTATAGATCATAATATTTGTTCCATAACCACTTATCACTGTCATTGTGTATTTGTGTGTGCGCACGTGTGTGTGTGTGTATGTGTGTGTGTGTGTGTGCGTGTGTGTGTGTGTGTGTGCGTGTGTGGGTGTGGGTGTGTGTGTGTGAGTGTGGGTTGGTATGTTAATGTACACAAGTTACTAACGCTCAAGCAAATCCATCATAATAGCGAAGTAACAACACAAAACACACATACATAGCATCAGACGAGGACACTGGAAAAGAGAAGTGATAGGGTGACAGAAGATGGACGGGAGGACAAAAAGACCAAATGCGATACCTTCCTGCTGGCTGTCTCAACCGTATATGAACGATGTATTAGAACTTTCTTTGCGTTCACTAGAAGGTCACCAAATTCGAGTGTCTATAATCCATATAATTGTTGGTTCATCCGTTCACTTTCCTCACACAATTATTATGGGTGAACTGCAAGTAGGAAGTAATAGTTTGCGTTTCGGTTTGCATATGGGTAATCACGTTATCACTTCACAGATGCCAGTTGTCGAATGTGATCCACTATACTACTTCGTCAGTGTGGTTACAGCCAGTCTTCAGTTTATGCGGTCTTTTTTTGCTGCATTTCCAAAGAAATATTTGTAATTATTTCTAGCTTGTGTCCATGCTCTACCTATGTTTGGTCCAGCCTAAATTTTTTGATATTTACAGAAATAGTTTGCAGCTAGAACAAGCTGGCTCATCAAATTGGCGGATGAAAGAAGAGCAGCCGCTTGATTTTGCGGGACCAACAACTGTTTCATCAGCTTTGTCAAATAATAACCGAGCAACACAGCCAACAGTGGCAAGCACTCATCCTTCTACAACAATTTGCCAAGGATGCCTGGAGATCAAAAAGTAGGGTCTGGAACTCTATTTTATTGCATTTTATTTCCGAGATTCGTCCAGTCATTTCAACTTATTAAGTAGTTATTATATGCATGCAGATCGGCATGATGACAACGCAGTTATCATTAATGTAATGAATTCATGAAAGAAATAAATCGTAAGTCATCTAAAATAAAATGCTTAGTAACGAGCATAGGTGTAGTAGATTAGAAGCTAAAATTTGGTAGGGTTTTCTAAAATTTGGTAGCTTAATAACTCACAGTGTGATTTGGAACAGTTCTATTAATTTATGTTTGTCTAGATTTGTGCTTCTTTAATTTCTCCGTCTTTGATTTTCCTTACTTTTCCCTTTGTATTTGCACTTTTGTTATTGGAAATGGAGGAGTATTAAGAATCGCTTGGTACTCAATTTTCCATATTGACAGGTTCAACTCCGAATTCGGGCTGTCAACTTTTAAACTGTTTCTCTGTTGAACCTCCACGATTTTCCATAAAGTTGACGCATTTTTCATAAAATAGGGTATTATTAGGTCGCATGCCAGGGACAGTATTTCTACAGTGTTTTCGAAGTTCTAAAAAAGTGTTGGTTTTCCGCCACTTTGATACCCCAAGATTGTTTTATACTATAAAGTGAAAATGTTCATTATAAGTAAGCTGTACCCAGAAACATGAAACGTTCCAATCTCTGAAGCTTTCTCCCGTTTCAACTGAACAAGATATGTTTATTTACATCAATAGTATGTTGAATATTTCAACTTCCAGAGAAGTGCAAGAAATGAAACAGCATTTCGAGAGGAATATGCAAGCTCTTATCAATCAGGTTTGCGCTGCAACCGGTGGTGAACTGGGAAATACTCTGGCGAGCTCTTCGTCAACTCCTCGGAAGAATGCAGTAACTCCTGAATGTCCCGTTGCATTGAGGCCATTACCTACGTGTCAGTTTGTTTTATAAATTTCGGAAAGTCAAAGTTTGTAACCTTTCTAGCAGTTCTACTTTCTTCTTGGAAGGTTATACCATCTTTTGATGGTGTTTTTCCATTTGAAGCCATTCACTTTTTCACTGGACTTCTTCAGTGCCAAGCCCATTGTTACAATGGAATCCATGGCTCTTTCCATCACTGTTACAACAAACGAGTCCAATTTTGCCACCGAATCTACAGGAACAGCTACAGCTTGGTTCAGTGAAAAGATGGAATTCATCTGGTCTCGATCGAAAATGCGACTCAAATGGTAATCCTTAAAAATCGAATAATGAAGACCTTCCAGTCGAATTTATAACAGTACTTCCTAATATTGCTATAGGATGGTTTATTCGGAAACAGTATATGATGCGTCCATTTAATGTTTTTTACAGTAACTGTAAAAGATATTTACTGAATAAAATGGATGCTCTCCTAATAGGTAGGAACGTCGTGCCAGCAATTTTTGTACACTGTAATCAAATAAATCAAGTAATTTAGTTTTCATCATTTCGGATACGGTTCTTTATCTGGACCTTTTTCCTTGAAATATTGATTTCTCTTTTCTTTTTTTTTATCCGAAACATGAAAATAATTCGTTGTTCAAATGAAGCAATATGTTTTGATGTTCTCAGTGAAAATATTATTCAGGTGATGCACAAATTGATCCCGTAAGCATTGACAACAACAACGATATATGCTCAGCGCCCGTTTCTGCTACTACCAAGAGTGTCATTAGCAATACCGATGTTAGTTTCGGATCGGGGATTTTTTTAAATGTTTTTGTCGATATGTTTACACTGGAAATGATCTGGTAATCGAAAAGATGTACTTTTTTGTTTCCTCAGAGCTTCAGGTATTAAGACCGGTTTTAACAAGGCTCTAGGGTGGGAAGGTCCTTGCAAATCACTCTATAATTATATATTATTTGTGTGTGTATTTTAATAAAGATTAACACATTATTTGCGAACTCTATGTCTTATGCAGTTATTGATACTTTTCGATTGCTTTGCAGAATGCAGCGCATGTGTTCGCCTCGAAGTTAGATTCCCTCTCTTCACTCAATCCTTTGCTTCTACAACAACAGTTGTTACAACAGCTGGTTGTGAATGGTCAGGGCCATTTAGGACAGTCGTCATCAACGCAGTTGCATCACATACAACAGCAAACACGGCAAGAACAACAGTCTAAACAGGATCATCCTACACAAGTTCACCTAAGTTCCGCGAATGTCGTTGATCAAACAGTATGTTATTTTAACTGAACATTTACTCCATTCAAATAAACTTTATAGAATCTAGTTTTTTCTCAGGACTCAAGTATTGGTGCATAAAACGGTCTCATTTGGGGTTATTTTTTACGAACTGCTTTACCAACAATTTAAGTAAATGTACTTGACGAGGGAATCGTAGTAGTGAAATTCTAAGATAGCTTTAACGAAGTAGATTTGGTTTTTAAAAGAATTGTTTCAGCTAAGCTGTGGTCTTCCGGCTCATCTGGAAACATTAACTGGACGGAATCAACAAGCCCATCAACACTTGGTTCAGCAGATGTTAAACAGTAATCAGAGTTCGCAAAATACATTAGTACGACAGCAACGTCAACATCTTACTACTGCTTCACCATGTCGAAAGGTATTTAATGTATCCTGCAGAAGTGTTCTGAATGCTTTGACTTTTGAACTTTTGTACAAGCCCTTTGAACTGCTGTCATTTATGATGGAATTTATTTGTTTTTGTCAAATTAGTTTTTTTTCCAGAAGCCTGTGTCAGATGACTATGTGAAGTTCATACGTCAGAAGGGCATTTCTCAAAGCAGCATTTCAGATATAAAAATTCCGGTGCCCCAAGCTTATCTTTCAGATCCAGGTTAGTAATGATTGCTTCATAATTTCGAGCAAATCTGGGATCTGTTTCAAGTCGCTTTGAAATGGTTTGGTGAGAATTCTTTCATTTCAACACCTTTTCAGGTTTTACACCTTGTAGCGAAGAACAGATAATTCATCAGTTTCATCAGAATCGTCGCTGTGATGACGATGTGCGTAAGGCAATGGCCTTTCTTTCGAAAATGTTGGCCGAAAAGCGGGTATTTGGTACCAAGTTAATGGCACAAACGACCGTTGCTGGTCCAAATCATTCAACTTACAAGAATCTTCCTGAAGAAGGAATTCACTATATTGCTTGTAAGTTTTTAAAACATGGTGGATTCCAACAAATTTAGAATTAGAGCGAATTAAATAATTCTTTTATATATCAGTCCATGAAACTGTCACGTTGCAGATGTGTGTCGTAAAGTGATGATGCATCGAATCCCTAATGAGGATGAATTTTGGGAAGTGTTTCGCGATGTGACACGTAAACTAGCCGCTCGTTGTCGGCGTGTGCGGCATTCGAAGAAGACAAGAAGTGAAGAACGTGATGCCAAACGACTTCGTGAAAGTAGTGCTATAGAGCATCATCGTCATCATCATTTGCAAATTAGTACCACGGATGCTGTTGTTGTTGATAATGATGCTTTAAAAACTGCTGCTCCGCTCGTTTCCAATTTGAAAGGTAATGCGACTGATACTTTTAATACAGCTCTGGAGCATCGTTTGCAAGTTAATGAGGAACACCTGAAAGGCATCCAAAGTACCCCTTTACAGGCCTCATTTAAGCCTGACACTAGCGTTGCCTAATATCTCTTTGCTTTTGTTCTAATTTAGGACATGGAACGATTTAACTCATCAATTTTTTTTTCTTGATATCTTGTCTTTTCAGTATATTTTAAACCACAGTTTCCAGCTCCAGTTATGTAATTGTTAATCAGATTAATAATAACGGTGACTGTTGCTAGTTGGAACCAGTAGCGAATTAGAGATTCTCCTTCCTGGAATTTTAAATCCGTGTTCAGGTAGAAAACATTTTCTGCTAGTTAAACTTGGCACACAACAAACAAGTCAATTTTTTCGGCAGTCGCACTAATGACTTGTTGATTTGTGCTGTTTTTTAGCATGCGACCAACTGTGGTGCTGCTTGTTACTGTTCACCTCTTTGTTCTTTTCAGGGATGTTTTTTAACCAAGTTACGATTCTTTTGTTTTCTTGACTTCACCTCAGGTGTTTTTTCCACTTCAGGTACCAACTCAGGTCCATTTTTCTTATCTATTTTTCGTTCTTTTTGAATTTATCATTAGACCAGTTTTGCAGAAAATTGTATATTAGATTCAAACTAATTTTTTAACAAATTCTTCGCATTTTCCTTCGCGAATGCTTTGCTCTGTTCAGTTGAACAAACTCGGTGTGTTCTTTTATATTTCATTATGCTATCATTATGTTATGATTTGTTGGAATTTTTTATCATTTGCTTTTACCCCGTTACGAAAAACGTCAACAGGCCAAACTGAAGTTCGAAGATACTTACCAGAAACATTTTTCGAATTCCTTGGAAGCGAATACCCAGGTTTCATATTCTCCTTTCAATCTTTCATTGTTGGTGCATACATAATGCTCAAATGGATTACTTTTCGATTAAATAAGTAATCGATCTTAGTGATCGATTCCTTACCTGATGGTCGGACTTTAATTTAACAAACCTATATCACACTTTATTTATCGTTTGTTTCATTTCTTCCTCCATTAACTCTCATGCCTTTCTTTATTTTACTGACTCTTTAATGGATTGTGATATTTTGACCTTGCATATCTGGAGATTTGCTAGAAGTTAATTAATCCTACCAGGATTCCTTACTCATTTGGCTATACATTGTTTGTACCCGGAATAGGACCGTGAATGGTCTGTTTTCGGTGAGTGGGAAACTACCATAACTGTCATG